ACACACACAAACACACACACATATTTTATTAGCCTGCCAGGCTCCTCTGTCCGTGGTATTCTCCAGGCAAGAATCCTGGAGTGGGTAGCCATTCCCTTCTACAAGCGATCTTCCCCACCCAGGGATCAAACCTGGGTCTCCTCATTGTAGGCAGATTCTTCACCAATTGAGCCCCCAGGGAAGCCCTTATAAAAAACCTTTAGACTCCAGATTGGTAGGTGAGGAAGGTTTAACCTGTCCCTAAGAGAACCTTAAAAAGAAAGACTCAAGGAAATGCCTATATGGCACCAACCACACAAATGCAGATATAAATGGAATTTCAGCCAATATTAGCATTTTGGTCTTTTATGCAAACATCTCGTGTTATTTTGTAGTACTTGCACAGTAGTCTTAAAGTCCAGCTTTCTCCAGTATATTTTACATAATTGTGCCCACTGTCCTAGTGGTGTAAACATAAAGGACACTAAGAAATTGTATAATGAAAAGGACTTCCATTTTGGTTCCTCACAGCCACCGTTGTAAAAGGATATGAGAAGGCAACAAGCTCTTTCTTGGCCAGGAAAGCCCTTTGAGGGGAGGAAGGCTCGGTAAACCAGCAATGACTATGGTTTGAATCTCATTTAGAACACCCTCAACCCTTCTGGGGATTGGTGAGCTCCTGGGGCTTCTGGAGGTGTTGTGGTACTGGATGGAAGGTTGGTTCAAATCTTCAAAAGCCTGTATATTTTCATTTCTATTTTGTGTCAGTTAATAAATAATCACTTGTGTTTTATACCCACAGATACATAAATATGTATTTGTGTGTGGTTTTTCTTTTTCACTTCAAATTGAAATGGTTTGAGACCTTTCAAGAATGCACAGAGAAAGCATGAAGGGAAGTGGGTGGAGACCATTTGATGGTATTCACCATCTCAGTGTTACAGCTGGGTTGTCTCACAGCTGACATTGCTAGCAACCAGGATGTTTTTAAACCATTTGAGTGTTTGCTATTACTTTCATTATTTTCCATGTATTGTTTAATTTACACCTTTTGTATCTGTTGCTTTAAAGACAAGAAGTAAAAAGAATATGAATATTTAAAAACAAGCCAGTAAGGAGTCTTAAAATGATAATAAAGAAATAGAGGAAAACAACAGAATGGGAAAGACTAGAGATCTCGTCAAGAAAATGAGAGATACCAAGGGAACATTTCATGCAAAGATGGGCTCAATAAAGGACAGAAATGGTATGGACCTAACAGAAGCAGAAGATATTAAGAAGAGGTGGCAAGAATACACAGAAGAACTATACAAAAAAGAACTTCGCAACTCAGATAAGCTGAATGGTGTGATCACTCACCTAGAGCCAGACATCCTGGAATGTGAAGTCAAGTAGGCCTTAGGAAGTATCACTACGAACAAAGCTAGTGGAGGTGATGGAATTCCAGTTGAGCTATTTCAAATCCTAAAAGATGA